GATGAGAATGTGCATTCTCGTTCGAACATTAACCCCTTGGCCTGTAACATCGAGTCAGACTCGTGTTGACGATTTCAAAATCGATTCGACAAAGAAGAATATTCCTCTGTTTTCTTTGAGTTGCTGGCATTAATATTTAACTTTTACAGTAAAAATACAGTTGCGATAAGCACAGAATTTCTGTCGTTTCTGGGAAACTATCGACAACAATGCAATCCTGGAGATTGCAGACGTCAAGAAAATCGTAGGACAAGGGTTTAAAATACATGGAGGGGGATCGATGATATTTAGACGGGTGGATGAGAGTGCGGCTGCATTGGTCCCCCGGGGCAATTAGGTGAACGCGCGAACGAAGAAAAGGATAAACGGGCTGCGGGTCAAGGCAACGCAATCCAATTCTCCCGCGACCCCAATGCAAATCGGGCCTCTTAACTGGCTGACGTTTCAACCCTTGACACTCGCCCTCGTGGTAGGGTTAGGGTAACACACCCGTTTCCTTCGAGTCTATCTCACTTTCTCTTGCGCGCGCGACTTAAATTAACCCTCGACCGTTTTCCACTCCTCTATTCCACTCGTTATTTTCCTCTGTGTTCTTCCCCTCCACCTCGTGGCCAGCTGGTAAGGGGGTTGATTCCAACGAGCGGAACGTAAATTAGCTGCCGTGACAATGAAAAACAACTAAAAATTTGGTATCGAGAATTATTGAAATTTCTGCCAAAGTAACATTCGATTTAACATTAATTTCAATACTCGAAATAAATTTACCAAGTGGTAAGAGGCGTTTCTTTTCCGCTAGGGGAAAAATTGAAGTTGACGAAGGGACTGCTACTATTTAGTTTTGGGAGTTACTGAAATTTATACCAAATTAACATTCGATTTAACATTTGTTTCGGTACTCGAAATAAATTTACCAAGTGGTAGGTCTTTCTCTTACGCTACTTTTTCCCCTATTGAAAGCCGAGTTTGCTCGCCGTTGTACATACGCTGAGAATCGAATCGTGTCCCGATTGTGCTTCGACAGACCGTTACAATCCGACTGAGGGGAACCAGCAAAGCTTTCCCCGAAGAAAGGAAAATCTGGTGGTGGTGGAAACGCCATTACCATGTCAAAGAGGCCGCGATATCGCCGAAACTTTCGATTCTCGAGCTCTCCTTTCCGTGTCAGATCCCGAGCCCTTCTCGTCGACGACCCCTTTGCACCTAATTCCCGACAAAAGCAACCCCTCTGTTCCGTCCTTGTTCTGGTCGTTGGAAAATGGAAAACAGACCGCGCCTCGCGATCGAAACGACACGCTGTTTACCCAGAGTCGTGTGCACGATGGTAAAGAAGGGTGCAAACGATTTTCCAGGGACCACCCCCATAGTTTCGAATGGACCTGGAAGGGAGATCACGGATGAATGTCGCCGGAGTTATAATTGCAACGAGGCGTAATTAGTTTTGGAAATTTAATTATTTCCGGGCGACGGGACGGGATGCGCGATAAACGCTGCCGGCAACACCCGGCCCTATCCGGCGCCCTTTCGACGAAGAATTATCGCCCGAGTCTTTCCCGCGTAACAGCCGTTAATCCAGCCCGTAGCAGCAACCTCGAGCCAATGGAAAATCGCGTCGTGTTTCGAAACGAGACCGCGGGCTGGAGAGGGGGGGTGGGTTTCCCTGCGTAATCCCCCCGGTAATCCGCCGACAGACGTCACTCGTTGGTTTGTTAATCAACCTCGAACGCCCCAAGGACACGACCGATTGTCGCAGGTGTCGCAGGTGCGACGCGATTCGAAGCGTGGGTCGAAATTCCATTCGATGCTTTTCATTTTACGCAATATTCCTATCGACCAAACGTTTCTATTCGTGTCACAGGCATTTGAAAATTTCGGGGAAGATATATTGGCTCGAGTTTGTGGATGAATGGAGTTTTAGCCCCTCGTCGATGGACGTGCAAACAAATACTGATCGAAAGCCATAATATTCTTTTTGTCCAGCGTTCACCGCGAACGAGCACCGGGTAATAATAGTTTGATCCGATCAACCGAGAGTTTATTATTGGAGATCGATTCACCGTTTACGTTCCCCTCTCCAAACAATATTCTCGTGTCCGTTCGATCTATTACCGAACGCTTCCGCGTAGATTTCCTTTGCTACAGCCGATTCTCTGACGATCGAAACGAAATTCAGCCGAGGGAAGTTAAGGTTTTCCTGGTAGTAAAATTCATAGAAACCAACGACACCGTATGGTTCTTGGTACCGGTGCAGACCAGACGACACTTCAGCGTCAATGATCTATAGCGGCAAAGGCCGTCGCCGGCGCGCGGGCTAAAAAATCGTCGACGACACTCGACCAGCGAGTCGCCTGGAAGAAGATGTTTCGTGTAACTGGAGGACGGGGAAAAAAAAAGTCCCGTTCAACGCGCGTTAACGGCGCTTCTGATTACGAACCAATCCACACACAATCACCCACGCGGATATACAGGGTCGGCCGGAAATCGTAATAAAACCGGATAGGTGATTCTATGTTAAAAAGGAAGAAAATATTTTGGTCTCTGTCCGGGACAGTATTTACAAACATCGATGATTGTGTGGATAAAACAATACAAAGTATTTCTTCTTAATACTCATTTTTTATTCTTTTTTACTACTAATACACGACAAACAAATCGTATTAAATTTAAAGTCGATTTTCTCGAAAACGGAGCTTCGGATGAGAAAATGTTATACCAAAATATTTTCTTCTTTTTTAACGTAGAATCATCCCCTGCCCGGTTGTATTACAATTTCCGGGCCACCCTGTATTATCGTCGTCACGGACGAGTGCGACAAGAACGCCGCAGCGGTGACGCATGAGAAACTTTTGTAACCGAGAAAATCGAGGCTCTCTCTCGACCACGCGATTTGCATTCACTTCGTTATGCACCGCCGGCTACGAGCACGACCGCGAACCAGGGAAATGTTTACAATCGCGAATTTTTTCCCATACGCGGAGGCTACGACGAACGGGAGGCTGAGAGGCGTGCCGCGTGTAATTAACGCTCGTTTCGCGCGAGATCGTACGGTTGAGTGGAAAAATCGTGGGAAAAACTTCAGGGGGGGAATGTCGAAGTGTAATGCTTCGCGACGCTCCGACACATCGTTGTCGAAGGTTTTTGACGCGCAATGAATGAAATCATTCGGTGGAATTGTGGTTCAGGGATTTCAAGCATGAAACGTAATCTCTCGGTTCTTACGGAAGGTTATATTTCAGTTAATCACATTTACAGTAGCGAACAAAGAAGCTACCGATTTCTCGATTGGTTTTATTATTTCAGGACGTGAACTTAAAACTTCGGTACCTTATGTGTTTAATGTATATTTCGTCAAAGCAGTGTAAAATCTAGTGTACTAAGGCTTTAAGTTACTTCATCAATTGACTGACAATATCTGAACGATTTCTTGCCGATCAACAGTACGAAACTTCTTTAAATGACATCCACGCATCGGAAAAACGGTGTTACTGTGAATACTAGTTCGTTATTTATCGTGAGCGAACACATTGTGTGTAAAAAAAAAAAATAGAAAAAGTCTGTTTAAATGTTTTAAAGTCTTAAAATGACTATTGCTTCTTGATGTTATAAAAAAAATTGTTCTAGAAGATATCACAAAGATACAATGAGTTAAGAAGTAATATAAATACAAAGAGTCAGAAAGTTTTTAACGTTTCTGTCCGTCTCTGTGTCTTCGTAGATTCGTATACTTTTCGATCGTAACGATCGTTAACAAACACCTCGGCCAGCGGCTCCTGCAAATACACACGGGGAGGCGATCAAACATGTGATTATAATAACTCCAATAATTAGACAGTGAATATTCCCTCGGGTTTATCGGACACCACCGAGCAAACTATTACTACTCCACCCCCTCGATTGTGGTCCGGGCAAACTAAACAAACCGCTCTCCACCCCCCGGAAACGACGCGTGTTTTTGTCACGGCCGCCATTATGTAAACACTACGTCGATTGGGTTTTTAGCAATTCATGTCTGTGTTGGCTCGCGGCTATGATTTTCGAACAGGAGGGGATAGTTTTCGACGCGCTAGAAAATTCACCCCCTTCACCCCTTCGACGAAGGAATCGACCACGACTGGATCTTTTACTCCTTTACTTCCCAGCTTCCCCTTTCGAGGCAGGTCTTTTTTAAAACGAAACTTTGTGGGTTCTTTGTGAGACGCGTGCCCGATCGCTACGCGCTTTTGTGCCCCAACCCCTTTTTCTGTGTCTCTGAACCGCGGTGCACGCGTGCCGCACGGTTGCGTTTTCAGAAATTAATGGCCAGGGCCGTGGTTGGATCTCGACCACCCCTCCCCGACGAATTCTAAGAACGAGTGCGGACGACACCGTGAAAAATTCATCGGCTAGGCCCCCCTGTCGCGGGCAAGCATCTTTTCAAACGGATCTTTACAAAAGCTGTCGTTCCCCGGAGCTTTGTCTGGCCACCCAACCCCCCGAACCGCGACACGCCGCAACCTGAACATTCGCCCCTCCCTCGTTCATGAATCTTTGACGATTCATCGTGAATCGGATGTCTCCTTTGTTTCTAGTCGGTGTCCCGAACTGGGGTGGGTAAATCTGCTGAAAAAAAAGAGAGTTCGACGGAGATTCGCGACGCTTATTCGGAAGGTTTTTTCTTAACTTTCTGAGCTTCTTTTATTCTTTAGTAAGAAAACTGAAATTAAATCGTTAAGGTGATCGTGTCTAGTAAGCGAAATGCAATGAGTTTTGCTCTGACAATCCTCGAGTATAAGCTGGATATATCGATCGATCTGTCCCTTCCACGCCGGAAACTTCGGTACAACTAGTTCCTCCGATTTCTTTCAATCCCCTCCCTCTGTTGGTCCCAACAGGGAAGCTTTGTTATCGCTCGTGGGAAAAGTGATTTTTCCCTGTGAGGACGGAGGGATAGAAATCAGGTAAGCGTCTTAACCATCGGCAAAAGAAGTTTGTAACGAAGTCCCATTTTTCTTGTTCTGTTTCAGCAATCATGGCGCACTTCTTCTTCCTGGCCGCGTTCTTCTGGCTGAACACGATGTGCTTCAATATCTGGTGGACGTTCAGGTGAGTCCTATATCTTTTGTCCGATCGTCGATTCGAAAGGGATGGAATCGTTTCGCGGCAAAGAATTTCACCGCGTGTACTCTTCCGGACGAGCGGTTCCGAATCGAGAACGAACCGAAATTTACGATCGATTGTCCGTGGGCAAAGATTTCCTCCACGATGACAGTTTCGCCCGAATTTTCCTGGAACGGTCTCACGCGTGTCGTAACGAAAAATGAGACAACGTTCCGTCGCAATTAAGCGTCTGTTTCATCAACGTTCCACGAACGACGCAACGCCGCTCGTAGTCTGTTAAAAATTATTAAAATACGTCGCCGTAATTGTCACGGAATTTCAGAGACGCGTCGACGAGGGGGGGGGGGGGACGGAGTGCATCGTCAATTGACACCCGGAGGGTTATCGACCTGGCCGAGTTTCATTCGTTCGTTCGCTCGCATCGTCTTCGATCAGAAAGGCCACTTCGCGGTTACGCAATTCCTGCTCAATTACGCAACCACCACGACTCGTCGAGGGCAATTAATTCATCCCACATTTACTAGTGAACCGAAGAATAAACCGAAGAACGATACCCGTTGAATGGGATTCGAGAAAAACAAAAACAACTTCCGGGACACGCGTTAAGATCCTTTTCCTGGTCGCCATAAAGCGGGAATCATCGCGGGGAAATCATTAAACTAGAGATCATTACGAACTACGAACCCTCTCGATCGAGTTAACGCCGATAAATAACAGACTATTAACGATCGTTCGACCAAAGCAATTTCCCGTTGTTTCGCTCTGTGTAACGGTTAGTTAGGAGAGATCAGAATTTTATTTACTTATTAAGGAAGGGTTAATGAATATTATTTCGTTTTTCTTCGGACTCGCGAGACTGAAACGCTTCGAGTTTCAGGGCGTTATTCGAGGTTCTACCTCCGCTGTCTCTTATCCGTACCAATTCATTGGACCAGTCTGTGGAGGGAAGAAAAATTCGGCTCGGCGTAAAGGGCGCATAGAAGCTCATTCGATCGGAAGTAGAATCGGCGAACGGTCGTTAGTGGCCGGATCACGTTTGAGACGATGGTTCTAAAAGGGGGGTTGCGGAGGAAGGGAAGCAAGGCGCCGCGGTGAGAGATGGGATCAAGATCACTCGGTCGACTGGTTAATGCGATGCAACACGGTCGCCATAACGGGTCCTTCCTTCTTCTTCCACCTCCTCGGTTTCTTCCTCGTCTCCGTCGATTTCTTTCGTCTGATCCTCCACTCGGCCGGTCGACTGGCTCATTTCTCACCTTTTTTCTTTTCCGCGAGAACGTTAGCAACCTTCTCTTCTCCCCCCCCCCCTCTTCCACTCGTTCCTTCGTCTTCGACGTCTTACTCTTCTTGCGCCACGATTCACTGCTCTTTTTTTTTTTTTGTTCCTTTCACGACGACCGTCGAGGATATCGTTGTTCCCGATCCGTCCAGAATCCCCATTCGCGGTGCTTGCCGGTCGGATCGAATCGTATTCCAATTAACCGTATCCCGGCGTCTGGATCTCGTCGCGGACGATTATGCACTCTGGCGGTCTCTGTTTACCGATCGTTACACGGCTCGTAGCGGTTCCGTGGCCACGGCGAGAATTAAATTCGCGCTTTCGACCGTGCGATCACCGGAAGTTTATTTACGTCGAGCAACAGGAAATAGTCCCGTCGTACGAGGATCGTTATCGCCACCCCACCTCCCTTGATTTCTTTCCATTCTACTGTCTTTTAATTGCGGAAAAATCGGATTTACGGGAGGGACTTCGATACCCATTACGTTTTCATTAACGTTTATTCGTTCCGTCGCCGGTGGAATGGAATTACGAGTGATTTACCATTCGGAGACTTGAACGCCTCGCGGAGTCAATCCCTGGGTAGTTTCTTTTCCCGGGATCCACTACCTACTTCGTTTTTTATCCGATTGAAGAACGTTCTTGCACGAGCAGAAGAACTTACCAACGACTAATGAATAAGATAATAAAGTAGAATTTAACGAGGCGGCGTTTATGTATGTTCAAGGGTTATTAAGCCGTGGCACTCTCTATGTTAGTATAATTATTTATTATATAGAAAAAGAACAATAGGAAGCAGCAGACGTAAAACTTAATGGAGGGAAATGCAAAAAACGCACGGATGTACTCGCGGGAGGAGTGACCTCGCGCACTAAAGAAAATAAAATAAAAATCTGTCGTTCTATGTTGTCCGAAAGTCGATCTCGGACCGAGTGTGCAATCTCTTAACACGTCGATGGAATTGCCGCATAGAGCTTTCCAGAGTCGATCGATTATTACAACAATATAAGTTTATGGATGATTCGACGAACCTCCGCATCTCTCGAGCGTACTTTGGTCCCCGTTCCCGCGGTTCCATACACAGGTTGAAACGTCAGGTACAGGTGCGCTCGCGCGCGAGTTGTATCCACTTGTTGAGAGGTGTCACCGACATGTTGCGTTCACGGTAGCTGCTCGGCTCCGTGATTTTCCAGGCGGAAAATTAGCCCCGGTGTCATTCGCGGCTGTGCACACGAACGTTTCCACGATGGTCCACGCTGGAACCACCACCAGCGACCGCCAACCCTTCCTAGACCATTTTTTCCCTCTGTCAAAGGGGGGTCAACAGCGGCGAATCGCTCGGGACCCCGACAGTCGGAGGTTTTTCGACACGGCTGAAAAACGAACGGCGCAACGATCCGGCGATAACTTATAAAATTTAATTAGCGGCGTTACGGCCGTCTTAATAATTGTACCAAGCTGTGCTGCACGGTTGAGTAACGACTCGAACCGTGACGTTGCCCGCCTGGAAAACGATTGCGTCATGCCTCGGTCCTATTGGAAATCGACCGTGTTGCTTTGTTCCTCGAGTCGGTTCCACCGTGTAGACCACCAGACGGGATTTAAGAGAGATTTTCAATCGTCCTATGGGAATGTTCGTACCTTTCATCGTCACGATCAAACTTTCGTTCGAATCCACCTGAATCGCTAGAGAGCTCGTACCTCGGAATCTATTTCTCAGAGTTGGGTAGAATTTTATAACAGACGGCAAATACGTTATTCTGACACCTTTCGAATAGATAATGGGATTAAATAATTGTTTGCCAAGGGGAATAAAAAGAAAGGTGTCTAAAATGATCCCTTTAAGGCGTAATTTATGTAAAAAATACAAATGCTCATCTTCAATTTCTCATCTTCGAATCCCGGAATGCCAATTTTCAATCGTGGACGTTCTCCAGAGGCCAACTCCCCGGGACAAAATCCTGGCGCCAATTAGCTGACCCCGCTCTGTATCCAGAGCGTCATTCAGGCCTCGATTCCATCACCGTTACGGTTAATTGCTCGAACGAGAGCGTATACACCGAAGAGCCACCGTTTGATTCTTGCGCTGCGCTGCGATAGCTAGCAAGCTACCACCTCGAACTTGCTCCGTCCTCCTCCTCGACACGCGTGTGCCCATTTTCTGAGAAATTCTTCAATTACCTAACATCCAACGGCTTCCCACGGTCACTGCTGCCGTTGCACGCTCGCTACTTCGCGCAGCGGTTGCACGACCTCGTCGGTTGCTGCAGTTCCTGGATGTTCTCGACGACTACCGGGGACTGCCTGGCCTCGTGCACTCAACGTTTCTTCCCCTAAACGAATTTGCATTCTACAGAAGCCAGGCTTCGTTCGGGGATAAGGCTCGTCGGAAGATTTCCTCGAAAGCAGAGAGAGAGAGAGATAGATACTTTCGAGTGTCCCTTTTATGCGTGTTCACGTGGCGCCAGGGATCCGTAGCCTGGATTTTCGTCGGGAAAAATTTCTCGTCCGAGGGAATGGAACTTTGTAAAATTGCCCGTTGAAATATTTTATGGGAGTCTCTGTACGGGGGCCGCTGCTAAGAGCGGAGAAATGAGTTCCGAACCCTGGTACGAAGGAGGAAGAAGAAGTTAGAAGGGAAACGAACACGAATTGCTCCATCTACTTGGACGTGTGTATGTGTCTATGCGTGTGTGTTCCTTGATGCCGGTGTCCCGTGGAAATTTAATCGAAACGGGAACCGGGAAAATCACCAACGACGGGACACCACCGCCGGTATCTAACCACCCACCACAGAGCGCGATCAGTCATTGTCAGTGGCGAAGAAACTCTAATCTCGATGTCTGCGCACTCGCTAAACAATGGTCAGTCCTGGAGAACGACCGACGTAATGGAGAACAAAGGGCGGAATGTGTCGTCTGAGAATCGTTACGGCCTGCAATCTAGGTATTATTCCACGGTATCTGTGTGTTCGTGCGTATGTACACGCGTATGTACACATCGGTCGTTAAGGTTCTCCACTGTTCTCGAATAGTGGGACTCATTAACTTCGTTTATCTCGTCCCCGATAGACCGCGGGGACTCGGTTTCTTTGGTCGCAACGGGAGTTCCACACGGCGTGCTGTTCCAGGGATAATAGCTATTGACGAAAGGTCATGATTGTCGTGGACAATTGGAGGAGATTCACACCTCGATGACTGGGAATGGTATTTAGTTCGTGATCTTCCTGATGGGGCACGATGCAGAGCCTTGAGTTCTTCCCAGGAAGTAATACGGTACAAATCGTAACTGTAAAACCATCAGGAAATTTTCAGACTCCTGTATTCTCCACGTAACATTCAATTAAATTAAATTAGAGAACATTAACTCGTTATAATAAAAGATGTAATAAAATTTGCGGAATAAATACATACGGTAATCATTTCCAATTAGTTTTCCAGCAGAAAGAATGTTTCGACACAATTTTGTACTAAATTCAATATATTTCGTTAACAGATTTCTTCACAGACGAAAATAACAGCGGAATACATACTCGGTTGTTCGTTCGAGTTTTATATAGATATCATCGTCGAAGATGCGTGGGAATCTTCTTTGTTGAAATGGTCCAGAGAATTCTTTTTTTTTTTCATGAGTTTTCAAGGTCACCTTCAATTTACTTTCAAAAATACAATTAAAAACGAAAGTAACACGTGTTATGTTATGATAC